GGGCTGGCAGGGCAGGCTTCTTCCCCTGCGCTCTGTCGAGTCGTCTTGGAGTGGGTACGCTTGGGCGTCGTCGAAACGACGTCGTCCCTCTGATGGGTTTCCCGTCTGTTTCCGGTTCCGAAACGGGACTGCGCGGACCTGCGGTTCATTCTGGACTTGTCCCGTCTGAACCCCTGGGTTCATTGCCCCTCCTTTCGGATGACTACGCTGTCTCAGGTTCGGCTCCTCTTGGAGCCGGGAGCTTGGATGGTGTCCCTGGACCTCCGGGACGCTTATTGGCATGTCCCGATTCATCCGCGGTTCAGGGACTGGCTCGGTTTTGTAGTGGGGCGTCTGAGTTACCGCTTTCGTTGTCTCCCGTTCGGGTTGAACCTGGCACCTCGCGTGTTCACACGCCTTACACGGGTTGTGGTGGCTCGTTTGCGTCTCCTAGGTGTTCGGGTGTTGGCCTACCTCGACGACTGGCTGGTTTGGGCTCCCAGCCAGTCGGCTTGCTTGCTAGCCAGGGATTTGGTTCTTTCCCAGCTCGCCGGGTTCGGGTTCTTGGTGAACTGGAGGAAGTCCCATCTGGTTCCCTCTCAGGTTCGGACTTGGCTGGGTCTCGTGTGGGACTCTCGAACCGCCTCTTTGTCTCTCCCTCCGGAGTCTCTCCTGCGGCTGCGGTCCCGCCTTCGTCTGTTTCTGGAGGGCCCTCGGGTCACCCGGCGGTTGCTCGAGGGGCTGTGCGGGAGCCTGAACTTCGCGATGGTGGTCTACCCGCCGGGTCGGGTTTGGCTTCGACGGCTGTTCTGGTTCCTTCGGGGTTCCCCCTTCCGCCTCTCTCGCGATCGCAGAGTTCGACCCCCGGGGGACTTGCGTCGGTTGCTGCGTCACCGGCTTCCTCTTCGGGTTTTTCGGGGTTCAGTGCCTTGGCGCCTACCCGAGCCCTCGCTCGATGTGTACACGGATGCGTCGTCTCTCGGCTGGGGTTTTGTGACCAGTGCTCACCAGGCCGGCCAGGGGCGTTGGGATCCGTCCTTCCGTCGAGCTCACAGTACGGTGCGGGAGTTCGCGGTGGTGTGGTTTGCTCTGGGGAGGATTCGGGTGGCCCGCGGATCGACGATTCGGCTCCATTCGGACTGCTCTCCGGTGGTTTATTGCCTGAACCGCGGGGGTTCGATGCGGTCCTTGTCTCTTTGGGGTTGGTCGCTTCGGGTGACTCGTCTGCTGAGTTCTCGGGGTTTGGCTCTCCTGGCGGTTCACGTACGGGGCGTGTCCAACGTCTTGGCCGACGCCCTGTCTCGCTTCGTTCCCCTCTCCACGGAGTGGACGGTCGACGACGAGTCCTTCCGTTGGCTTTGCCAGACGTTCGGGCGCCCCGAAGTGGACCTCTTCGCGTCGGCGTGGTCGCGGCGTCTTCCCGTTTATGCGGCGCCCTTCCCCGATTGCGAGGCCGTCGGGGTCGATGCCTTTCGGCTAGACTGGTCGAGGTGGTGGTTCCTGTACCTCTTTCCCCCGGTTCGGCTGTTGCTCCAGGTCCTGACTCGCTTAGAGACTTACCGGGGGAGAGTTGTCCTTCTGGCCCCTTGGTGGCCGGCGCAGCCTTGGTTTCAGGCGCTGGTTGCTCGGTGTCCGAACCCGAAGGTTTTTCCCGCGGCTCCGCCTCTTTCAGCAGATCGGGCCGGTACGTCACGTAGCTGGTTCGATCTTCTCCTCGAGTCTTCGCGTATGGTTTTTTTGACTCGAGTCTATCATCATCTCTATGGTGATCAGGTGGCCTCCTTGTTGGTGTCCCACCTGAGGGCTTCTTCTCGGCGGCAGTATGAAGTTTCCTGGCGGTCCTTCCGTTTCTTTTTGCGTCTTCGTCGTGTTAGCTCCTTGTCTGTTCGGGTGGTCTTGTCCTTCCTCTCGTGGTTGTTTCAGGACCGTCATCTTATGCCTAACACTGTCGCTTCGTATCGTGCGGCGCTGGCAGAGCCGCTTCAGCTTGCTTTCGGTATCGATGTTACGTCTGCGCCGTTTCGCAAGCTGTCTCGTGCATTGTTTCACCTCCGGCCTGCTCATGCGTCGCCTGAGCCGTCCTGGTCTTTGGACAGAGTGCTCGCTTTCCTTTCATCTCCTCGTTTCGTTGTGGCCCCTTCGGTCCAGGATTGTTTTTCCAAGGCACTTTTCTTGTTGGCTTTGGCCTCTGGGGGTCGGGTAGGGGAGCTTCATGCTCTCCTCCGGCGCAGGGGTTTTCTGCTCTTTTGGTCGTGGTGATAGTTTTGTTCGTTTGCAGCTGTCTCCTTCTTTTCTGGCGAAGAATGAGACTGCTGCGTTCCGGAGGGGTCCATGGGTGGTTGATGCTTGGTTGGTCAGGCCGGGGGTGCATCATGTTTTGTGTCCGGTTGCGGCGCTTCGCCGTTATTTGCGCGCCACAGCTTCTGTGTCCGGGGACGCGCTGTGGGTTGATCCGGTTTCCCTTCTTCCCTGTTCGCGGGTTCGGGTCTCTCAGGTCGTCCGCAGGGTTATTAGGTCCAGCCAGCCTGCGGTCTATCACCGTGCCCATGACGTTCGTAAGTTCGCGGCTCTTGCTGCCGTCTTTGGGAATATGTCTTGGTCTGATATTCGGGCGCGGGGATTTTGGCGGTCAAACAGGGTCCTGGCTGCTCGTTACCTTGTGAATGTCCCTGGGCCTCGTCGGGCCTGTGTTGCTTTGGGTCGGCGGTTGCAGCCAGTTGTCTCGGCTTCGAGTTGAGGGGTGAGCGACGACCGCCTCCCTGGTAAGTCCCTCTTTTTCTGTCTGTGGGTAGTTAGCTCCGGGGAGCCGACGGGGCTTCCCCCAGAAAACCAGCGTTGAATGTAATGAAACGCCATTTTCTGGGTGAGTCCCGGAGGCTCCCCGGCATCCCTCCCTCCCTCCGGTCGGCGGTTTTTTCGCGTTTTTGACATCCAGCCTCAAGAACTGAGGTGTGGGTAGCCGGCGCGGGGGGTCTGGGGCTCCCCCTTCCCCCTCCCGGGGAGGGGGGAGCTGCGCAGACAGCGGCGCGGCAGTGTGTGACGTCACACTAGTTTGCTTGTTTTCGGTTGGGGAGTTCTATCCACTAGTTCGGTTTTAGGTAGCAATTTTAACCAGAATAGGGGTTTGTTTTGGGGCGCTTACCTTTCTGGGTGCCTGTTCCGGTCGATGGCAGACATAGAATGCTTCCAACTACAAGGGGGCTTCTATAGGCCATTGCTCCCCTTGCCTCTCTGAGGGGGCCCGGTTCTGGCCGTGGTCCCCGGTAGGCCTAAGAACTCCATACACATGACTGATGCCAAAGTCTGACATTAGCATATCAGCCTGGGATAGCTCCGGGGAGCCTCCGGGACTCACCCAGAAAATGGCGTTTCATTACATTCAACGCTGGTTTTTTTACCTCCGGCCTGCTCATACGCCGCCTTAGCCATCCTGGTCGTTGGACCGGGTGCTCTCTTTTTCTCTCTTCTCCTCGGTTTGTGTTGGCCCCTTCGGTTCAGGACTGTCTTTCTAAGGCTCTTTTCTTGTTGGCATTGGCCTCTGGGGGGTCGGGTTGGGGAGCTTCATGCTCTCCTCCGGCGAAGGGGTTTCTGCTCTTTCGGTCCTGGTGGTCGTTTCATTCGTTTGCAGTCTTCTTCTTTTTTTGGTGAAGAATGAGTCTGCCGTTTTCCGAAGGGGTCCTTGGGTTGTTGATGCTTGATTGGTTCGGCCGGGGTGCATCATGTTTTGTGTCCGGTTGTGACTCTTCGCGGTTATCTGCGCGCCACGGCCTCCATGGCAGAGGACGCGCTTTGGGTGGACCCGGTTTCCCTTCTTGCCTGTTCCAGGGCGAGGGTCACCCAGGTCGTCCGCAGGATTATTCGGTCCAGGATTTTTTTTCCTGCTTTCTGGTAACATAGTGTTTTCTCTCCATGCTCGGTCCACGACACACTTGTGTGGTCATGTTTTTGCAATCATGAGTCTTGTTTGTGTGTTGCTTTCTGTGGTGCTCCCTCCTTCCTGATTGTTGCCCCTTTTGTTCTTTCTCTGTGGGTAGGTAGCTTCAGGGAGCCAAAAGGGGCTCTCCTCAGAACACCTGTGTTGAATGTACAATAATGAAACTCCAATTTCTGGGTGAACCCCAGTGGCTCCCTGACTCTCTCCCTTTCCCAGGGAATTGGGGGTGTTTCCATCAACATACAACTGAAGGTGGAGCATTTAGCTCACCCTGGCTGCCTCCTTTCTTTCTCCAAACGAGGCGGGAAATGTGGGGCGAATGTGCTCATGCTAGTTTCATGAATTTTCTTTAATTTGCTTCCATTATTGGGGGGAGATTTTTAGTGATTTTGAGGCTGCGATCTCAATTTTAACCAGCAATGGTCTGTTCTGTTTCGCTAACTTTCTGGGTGCCTTCCCTGGTAGTGGTAGATATGAATAAATTCAATTAAATTTAATCATATGTGCTACTGCTCCCTGAGCCTCTCTCTATAGGAGGCCAGGTTGTGGTTCATGGTTCCCGGTAGGCCTAAAAGAACTCTGCAAGTTATGGCACCTAGTATTTTGGCACTATATCATCATAGTAGCTTCAGGGAGGCAGAAAGACTCGCCCAGAAATTTGCATTTCATTACATTCAACACTGGATTTTGCCTGATGCACAGGATTAAAGCCAAAACATATGTTTTATGCAGAGTATTTCAACTTACTGTTTGGGTTTGGAATGGAGGATTTGAATTTGATTTAACCCTTGCACTGCTCACCTATTTTCAGCAAAAACGTCTTGGTGCAATTGTCAAGGACATATTTTTGTTATTTTTACAAATATTCAGGTAAATTTAATGTCAAAATGTTTCCAAAGTCAACTATTTCCATTTCAAAACACAAATAGTAATGAAAACATTAAAAAACATTAAAATATAGCCAAATAAAAAAACAAAAAGCACAACTCTCTGAGCGCCTAAAGGCGCTTTGCGCAGTGCAGTGGTTAAGAAATATAACTTGAAAGTGGTAGCAAGTATTCTGATACTTTTTTTTCATTTACACTAGCCCTCTTCATCTGGAGCCAAGATTTCTGGACAGAGCAAAGATACGATTTGGTGGTTCCTTCCATGAGTCTGCAGTAGACGATGTGCGTTCACTTGGGAAGTTGTTGAATGTCTTCACTGCTCTTATACCTTATTGGCTGGTGTATTTCCAGGTACTGTATATATATTATATCTAAATCTATTAAATTTATGACAAATAAAATAAATTATATATATATATATATATATATATATATATATATATATATATATATATATATATATATATATATATATATTAGTATATATATATACTGTATATATATATAATATACTGGTGGTGGCCTTTTTATTAGAAAAATGTCATATTGAAGCAATAATAACGGTGAAAATTGTGATATATAGAGTATTTTAAACAGTTGGAACACATTTCCTTTTCACAGAATTTTTAAGACAATTGGGGGTGTAGAAAAACATACAGTAATATACATCTTTTGTCTGGTTCTTGTCTGGGATTCAAGTACAGTGCGGGAATTTGCAGCGGTGTGGCTTGCGCTGTGTTGGATTTGGCTCGCTCGGGGCTCTACAATCCGGCTCCATTCGAACTGCTCTCCGGTGATTCATTGCCTGAACCGCAGGGGGTCTCTGTGGTACGTGGCTCTTTGGGGCTGGTCGCTTTGGATGGCTTTTCTAATGTGTTCTCGGGGTTTAGCTGTCTGTGCAGTTTATATTCGGGGCGTGTCAAACGTCCTGGTGGATGGCCTGTCACGGTTCATTCCTCTGCCCATGGAATGAACGGTTGACATCGATTCGTTCGGTTTACTCTGTCGAACACTCGAGACCCTTGAAGGTGGACCTCTTTGCATTGGCATGGTCGAGGCATCTGACTGCGAGGCCATAGCGGTAGATGCTTTTCAGCAGGACTGGCCGGGTTATTGATGCTTTGTTGATCAGGCCAGGGGGTGCATCATGTTTTGTGTCCTGTTGCGGCTTTACACCACTACCTGCGCGCCTCTGCTTCTGTGTCCAGAGTCGAGCTGTGGGCTGACCCAGTATCTCTTGTTCCCTGTTCCAGGGCTTGGGTCTCTCAGGTTGTTCGCAAGGTTATCAAGTGTAGCCAATCTGCGGTCTACCCTCGCACCCATGATGTTTGTAAGTTTGCAGCTTTGGCTCCTGTGTTTGGTAATATGTCTTGGGCTGACATTCAGGCACGGGGGTTTTGAAGATCTAGCAGGGTCTTGGCTGCCTGTTATCTTGTTAATGTGCCGGGCCCTCAGCGGTCTCGTCACCTTGGGTCGACGGTTGCAGCCAGTTGTCTCGTCTTTGTTACGAATTGTGTGGTGCAGCCGCCTCCCTGGTAAGTCCCTATTTTCCTGTTCTTTAGGTAGTTAGCTCCAGGAAGCTGGACAGGGCTTCCCCACAGAAAACTAGCATTGAATGTAATGAAATGCCATTTTCTGGGTAGAGCCCCAGTGGCTCCCTGGCACCCTCCCTCCCCCTGGTCAGTGGTATTTGTTTTAGTTTTTCAGACTCTTAACTGACGATCCAGCTGCTGTCTCGGTAGGCTGGGACCCTCCTCTGCCCCCTCTCTTTGGGGGGGGGGGGGTTCTGTACAAACAAGCGGCGCATGGTGTAAAGACATGTTGTTTGTTAACTTGTTTTTCTTGGAGTTTCTAGCTTCTGTTCATTCTCGGGTTGCAGTTTTTCTACCAGAAGGGGTCTGTTTCGGAGTGCCTAACTTTCTGGGTGCTCAACCCCGGTCGATGGCAGAAATGAATACTTTCATACGTGAGAGTTTCATAGGCCATTGCTCCCTGCACCTCTCTGAGGGAACCATGTTCTGGCTAGTGGTCCCCGGTAGGCATGACAGCTCCTTATGACTGAAGCCCCGTACTAATATTAACTAATATCAGTCCAATAGCTCCAGGAAGCCTCCGGGGCTCTACCCAGAAAATGGCGGTTCATTACATTCAATGCTGGTTTTATGAGTGAATGTGTAGGTGGATAATATAATAAATTGATTTGCCGTATTCGGGGACAGGATGTCTTTTAGGCTAGAGTTTAACTACTGACCACCTAGATGCAATCCACAACAGTTGCCTAACTCCCAGGCATTTCATAAGGATAATTTTATTTAGGAAAAAGTACATGCCAACAAAAGGAGTTAAAGCCAGGATGTTGGATTTTTAGATAGAGCCAGTATATACTATGTCTAAAGCCACTAATACTCGCAGCATTTTGGGCAACATCAGTTTACTACTAGATGAATAGAGGCATCAGGTAAAAGGAAACTTGGCCCAAATGCTTCTTTCCTACCATGGTGGTTGAATCCAGGACTCTTCAGCTGCAACCAGACTATGTTGACTACTGTGCAATAGAACCCTTGTATGTATATATGTATGTAGATCATGTCATATTAATTATTTATGGACAGTCCCCAGGTACAGTCAAATGGTGCTGTACCATAGTAATACATGTTTTGAATTCTAAACTCTTTACGCTGGAGACACATTACAGCTGCCATCATAAATTTGTTGATAAAATACAATAAACAAAACTTTGTCTTTCAGATGGAGACCAGTTTTCAGGCCCAAGGTCTGCACATGCGCTTCTCTATTTATGGCACTAACCACTCCACTGATATGCAAGACGATATACTACAGACAACTGAGAGGGAGGAATTTAGTGTAAGTTTGGTGACAGGCACGCCACGAGTCACTCCTGCATGCTCATCATTTGACACATTCCCAGTCCATCCTGACTGTGACAGTCATGGTCCATCCTGATTTGTGACAGGTCATGGTCCATCCTGACTTGGGGCAGGTCATGGTCCATCCTGACTTGACAATCATGGTCCATCCTGACTTGACAGTCATGGTCCATCCTGACTTGTGACAGGTCATGGTCCATCCTGACTTGTGACAGGTCATGGTCCATCCTGACTTGGGGCAGGTCATGGTCCATCCTGACTTGCGACAGTTGTGGTCCATCCTGACTTCACACACAGAGATCACACTAACGTGATGCATCAAATAAACAAATCCACAAGGAAGAGGGAGAACGGCCTATTGACATAGCTCGGGTGCAGGGGGAGGTTGTGTAAAATCCTGGTTTGTGTCTCGGAGAGGCTACGGGATCCAGCAAGTTCAGTAGAACTTCGGTTTCAACCCTTTTAACCCTTTCGTAGCTCAGTCGATTAAGGCAGTGTCTGGGATGCTCCCGGACGCAGGTTCGAATCCTCGTCACGGCCCTTGTGGATTTGTTCATCCTGACTTGTGACAGTCATGGTCCATCCTGACTTGTGACAGTCATGGTCCATCCTGACTTGTGACAGTCATAGTCCATCATGATTTGTGACAGTCATAGTCCATCCTGACTTGTGACAGTCATAGTCCATCCTGACTTGTGACAGTCGTGGTCCATCCTGACTTGTGACAGTCGTGGTCCATCCTGACTTGTGACAGTCGTGGTCCATACTGACTTTTGACAGTCGTGGTCCATCCTGACTTATCACACAGCATTCCATTTATTCCTTTACATGCATTTCTTGAATGTATTGGAGCAATATTCAGATAATTTCCCTTTAGTATCTTATGGTTAATTTATCTTCTCAAAAAATCATACCATATTTAATACTTTGATACGATATTCCATTATTTTCACTGATAGGTTAATAAGCTGGTCCCACCATAGCTTTATCTGGCCTCATAGCTCTGTCTGGCCTTAGTTTGAAAGCATTGTCATCTGTGTAAACTAATTGAATTATACCAAGAAATGCAATGAATCAGATCCTGGCCTTTTGTGTTTGCAGGTTCCAGCTGCATGGCTCACGCTCTTCAACCAGCTGTTTCTAATTGGAGCCATCCCTCTTGTTACCAGTTTCCTATACCCAGTCATGGACAAAGCAGGCATTCGCATGTCGATGCTCTTCAGGATAGGTAAGTGTGTGTTTGGTATTCAGTATTTCTCTTCAATACAGAACTTATGTTGGGAAATTAATATTATTATCTAATTTTCTGTGTGGAGCTCCTATGGCTCCCTGGCGCTATCGGGCTAATGTGTGATATGTTAGACCGGGACATTAGCTATGGAGTTCGACCTACCAAGGACCACGAGCCAGAACCTGGCCCCTTCAGAGAGGTTTCAGGGAGCAATGGCCCTGGAAAAAAAAAACTGTGGTTGGGGGTTTTCCTTATTTGCCATTGACCTGGGTTAGGCACCCAGAAAAGTAGGCATAAAAAACGAACCCCACATGGGAAGAAACCAACAACAAAAAAACGAAAAGGCAGGCAGAACTCCTTCCAACCCAAGGAAATGAGCAAACAAGCAAACGTTTGCTCATTTACTGCCACAACGCTTGACCATGTAGCCCTCCCCTCTCCTGGAGGGGGAGGGGGTAGCCCCGTGCCAGCTACTCAGGCCTTCAGGTCGCAAGCTAATGTCAACCGGGACAGTTGCTTCTCTGGCCTCAAATTCCTTGGCAGTGTTTTGCCTTTGTGACACTTCTGCTGTGTTATTGTTGTGTGTGGTGGCCAGGAGTTACTCATCAGTATCAGGGCTGCAAGTGCATATGGGCTTCCTTCCCCAAGCGCCCTGTGAGTATTGCCCTTGCGTGATTAGGGTTTTCTTCCCTGGGGCGTTCGGGAACCATTTCCGTAGAGGTTCTTGCTGCTCGGCATTTACCTTGCCGAGATAATTATGGGATCTCTGGATTTGAAGGTTCTCATAATCCATCCTATCATTTTTCTGGCTGACATAATATTTGCTTGGTTATGCTCCCTAAATGTTAGGTCGTCGGATATCACTATTCCCAAATCCTTGACATGCTGTTTTCCTATTATGGGCAGATTCGATTGTGTTTTTGTACCTTGTATTATGTTTCAGCTCCTCATTTTTGCCATACCTGAGTACCTGGAATTTATCAATGTTAAACATCATGTTATTTTCTGCTGCCCAATCGAAAACTTTGCTAATATATGTTTGTAGTTTTTCAATGTCTTTAGCAGAGGTAATTTTCATGCTGATTTTTGTATCATCTGCAAAGGATGACACGAAGCTGTGACTTGTATTTTTGTCTATATCTGATATGAGAAAGAGGAACAGCAGTGGTGCAAGGTCTGTACCTTGGGGTACAGAGCTTTTAACTGCGTTTGGACTCGATTTTATTTGATTGACTGTTACTCTTTGTGTTCTGTTCGACAGGAAATTGAGTATCCAGTGTCCTACTTTACCAGTTATACCCATTGACCTCATTTTGTGTGCTATCACTCCATGGTCACATTTGTCGAATGCCTTTGTAAAGTCTGTGTATACAACATCTACATTCTGTTTTTCTTCTAATGCCTCGGTGATTTTGTCGTAATGGTCAAGTAGCTGTGAGAGGCATGATCTTCCCGCTCTAAATCCATGTTGGTCTGGATTGTGGAGGTCATTTGTTTCCATGAATCTAGTGACCTGACTCCTGATCACAGTGCTTTGCTCCCTCCCTTGTGTAGAGGGGCTATGTCTGCTGCTTTCAGCACATCTGGTATCTTCCCCATGTCCAAGCTCTTCTTCCACACTATATTGAGTGCCTGTGCTACTGGCACTTTGCATTTCTATATAAATATTGAATTCCATGAGTCTGGACCCGGGGCTGAGTGCATGGGCATATTGTCCAACCCGTTCTCGCAAATTCGTAAAGTCAATATTGACTTATTAACTACGTGCATAGGTGATATACTAAACATAATAGATACCCTTAAAAAGATTCATAGAAAACACCGACCTTACCTAACCTTGTTAGTATCTTAAGATAAGCATCTTATTGCTTCGTAATTACAATTATTACTTAACCTGTACCTATTATAGGTTAGGTAATAATTGTAATTACGAAGCAATAAGATGCTTATCTTAACATACTAAGTAGGTTAGGTAAGGTCGGTGTTTTCTATGAATCTTTTTAAGGGTATCTATTATGTTAAGTATGTCACCTATGCACATATTTAATAAGTCAATATTGACTTATTAAATTTGCGAGAACGGGTTGCATTGTCATATAATTAAGGATTTGTATAAAAAGGATTATCAAAAATATTTTTAGTTTTACTAATACAAGTAGTCAAAGTTCCCCAAAAATTTATGCCAATATTTCATGTTTGCAAATATTTATAAAATCAATAAATGAACTTAGGAATAAAGTGTTCTGTAAGTTTATTAGAGACATTAACTCTACATATAAGGTGTAAATTTCATGTAAATTAAAAAAATAAAATGAAAGAGGAGAGTTAATTTTGTTACTTGACAATAAATGAGATCAAACATTCTGCCACCTGTAGTTGAAGTTGACTTCAACCAATTTCCTCCAAAATTTGCATCCCTACAAATAGGCTTACGTTCCGTAAGGTGTACAAGTTTCATGCAAATCGGCTGATAAAAAATATGAGAAAAAATCAAGATTTTTTTTTTTTTTTTTTTTTTCATAAAACTAATTATTAAAATATTTTATTATATGCTATTGTGATAGCTTAGAGTCATAGACATGATTTCAGTTGACACTTTTTTTTTATGTTAATTTTTGACCATTTTGGAAAATTAGAAAAATTTTGACACATAATTCAATATTTTTACTCCCTTCCTATTTATGCTACGATGCTGAGACTTGGGCCAGTTGAACCAATTTTGTATACAACTAGTCAAAAAAGTTTGATTGTAATCAGTCCAGCTTTCATTTATCGCATTTTTCCGTAATTTTCCGTAATACGTCCCTATAAGCATTTCCGTTAATTTTTTCCTTCTTTTGTAGTGTCGTCTGCGTTCTCTTTTTACATTAGACCTCTTTCTGGCTTTCCTCAAAGGAACATGTTTCAGACAGACTTCATTTGTTTCAGAAATCAGTTTTTTTTTATTTCTTAGAACATTTTCCCACTGAATGTTTGTAGTTCCCTGTTTATTTTCTCCTAGTCTATCCTTTTATTATTAACACTTTCGCGCTTTAGATTAGAGATAACTCGTCGCTGTTTTTTCTTACGATTCCGCATAACAGCCTACTTTTCTCGTCAATCGAAAAAATATTTCTATAAATTCCATTTTTTAACCGAAATGGATGGGGATACTTTTGTTTTGTAGAGAATTTATTTGCGAATTTTTTGGTACCAGAATGAATATTATATCACATAAACTTCTATGAGTAAAAAAAAAAATACACAAAGTATGTTTGGGGGTGTGGCGAGCGTGTGGCAGTGGGTTCCCTTTAGCCGTTGATATATCCAACACGTGGGAAATATTTGTATGTGTTATGTATATGTCTGTGTAGGGAATTTTACTGCGATCACTGTCATACAAATTATAAAATGTTTCAACAAGTATAAACATGACACATCAAACGAACGAAAACAATGTGTTCGTTTCTGCCGCGAATGCATACTGAGCGACGTGGTTCTATATTTGGCGCTTCTCTTACACATGCTTTGTACAAATGTTATACATTTCATCTTATAGAAAATTTTATTGCGAACACATTGGTATAAAAAAGAAATACGTACATAGAAAAGTAGGGTCAGGAAACGTATAAATGTATAAACTTTCCAAGCATGATTTCCCCCGTGTGTTTTCGCCAGTGCGCTCGCGGCTAACTACTCTCCACTTCACACACTCTTGCGGGTGGGCAATTACCTATATTAAACATTCTTATGCATATGTCCGTGTAGAGAATTTTATTGCGATTCCAATGACACCAAAATTAGCGATGTAGGACAACTGTAGGCTTCGCAACCATTAAGAGAGTGGAAACATTTTGTTGCTGTTTGGCGCTCTCGGAGAGTGATCTGCATAGTTTTTTATTTGGTGTTGATACTCCTTATGCTTGGGCGGCATTTTATAGGTATGCTCTTATAGACAATTTCATTGCGAACACAGTGATACCAAATTTAAATACGTGCGCCTTCAATTGTTGTCAGGACAGTCAAAAGAGTGTACACTTTTTCGGTCTTACCGCATAGGCGCGCGAAGTGCCGAAAGCATCTGGGGTATTGTTTTTTTTTTTGAGCGCTGAGAGCGCGAAAGTGTTAAAATTGAATTTATTGAATAACCCTTCTCGCCTGTTGCTTCTCTTGGGCCTACTACCGTTACTAATGTTAGTTTGCACACTGTTAGTTTTTTCCCATGTGGGGTTTGTTTTGTTATGCCTACCTTTCTGAGTGCCTAACCTCGGTCAATGGCAGATAAGGAAAAGTCCCCAACCACAGGGGAGGTTTTCCAGGGCCATTGCTCCCTGAAACCTCTCTGAAGGGGCCAGGTTTTGGCTCATAGTTCCCTGGTAGGTCAAACTCCATAGCTAATGTTCCAGTCTAACATATCACACATTAGCCTGATAACTCCAGGCAGCCTCCTGAGCTCGCCCAGAAAATGGCGTTTCATTACATTCAACGCTGGTTTTATATTCATGATTAATAAATATTTGTATACCACTTCATATCAAGTTAATATAAAGTTGAAATGTTAAAGATTATATAATTGATTTCCATTTTTAGGTATTGGTATGGTCTTCAGTATCTTCGCAGTTATGATTGCCGGCAGTCTGGAATCTTACCGGATATTCCTCTGGCGGACTGAGTAAGTTGATGTTGTGTTCATGCTCTAACATTTGTGCAGATTTGTTCCCTTTCAAAGCAGGCTGTTATGTGGACACCCTCCTTTGTTGTAGGCAGTAAATCATTTCTGTCATCAGGTCTTTCATTGGGTTACTTTTCATAAAGCTGCTGAATTGTGTGTAAAATATTAACAATTGCATTTTGTTTTTTTTTTGTTTTTTTACTTTATACAGTATTTTGACTTCCTTGATGCATTTTCTCATCACACTTTATTACACACTTTTAACTTCGCTCTTAACAATAACTTGTCATTCCCAAATGTTTCAACTTATCAAAACTCGATATCTGTTCAAGGAAGATCACTTTAGATGCCGTATTGCTAACTGTTCACTGGTCCCCATTTGCATTATTCCTGTAACAAGAATTTCCTTAGCTCAAGGGGAGCACATTTTACCCATCTATCATATAATCTGGGGAGAAATATAAATTTTGTGCTCTCTTTGCCTCTGTCTGTCATGCTTTTGATTATATTTTGTAAGTATGTTCTCTAAGACTGCTTAAAATGTTAAATATTTTTTGCAAGCATGAATTAATGTACAGTATTGTTAGAAATGGGATTGTCGGTTTATTCATGCCACCCAGTTCTTGAAACTGAATACAAATCATATTGTACACAAGATGGTTAACCAACAGATTTTAAAACCTATCTAACCCAACTGAGCCAAGCTGAGCCGTACAAACCCAATTCAACCCAACCCAATGCAACCAAACCTAATACTGTACATCCTAATCTAACAATATACTCTACTGTATACAGTTTTGACAACTGGAAAATGAGATATGTCAGACTGTACTCGTGTAGTTGTGGTTATGGGGATTGAGTTGTCTTGTGTATGATTTGACCACACCCCTTGAAACCCTACCCAAGATTTAAATCTCATAAAAGTTTATGTAACCTATCTGATCAACTTAGCTAATTAATGTAAAGGGATTTGGGATCAATCTGTGATTTATTGTTCCTTTAAGCTTTTCCTGAGCCTTGAAAAGAGGAAAAAGTTATTTTAAATAATGAAGTTGACAACCACAGGTCTGCCACTGCCTCTCTACAAAGATATAATACAACACAAAGTTGGCTAGTTTAACCTCTTTTGTAAATGAGTGAGATGCCCACTGATCCAGTGATGCCATCATGATTGATGGTAGCACCATTAGCTTTCCATGAAGAAAATAGCTTAGTTGAGATCCAATATGCTAGTGATTGAATGCCTTTGTGTGTGTGTGCGCAATTTTGAGAAAGATAGCATTATGGATTAAAGTGATTCATATTTGAATGGAAGTGGTCAAGTTTATTGTATAGTGAATATAAAGCTCAGTCAAATCATAAAAACCCTACAAATTTTCCTTAAGCCATAAGAATTTTATCATGCTAGTTCAGGATCTATACTGAGTATATCTGATATGACAGTAGTAGATTTGTTATGGATTAGTCAAGAAAAATAATCCAATTCTGTTCACGTGCTATCGTAAAAAAATAATATTCATTTTCATTATCATTTTATGAAAAGATTTCCAGTCTGGGGGATAATTTTCACTTCCTCAGTGTGACTATTGATAACCTTGACAATCACAGTAGCTGCACTGTACCTCTACCATGTTACGTTTATTGAAATGTCAAATACTAATGCTGAGGTTAGGACAACTGGGTTTTATTCGAAAGAAACTATTAAGTACTGTATAAACATCAAAAATATTTGATTGTATTTTCACTAGAAGCTCCTCCACAATTATTGTTTTTCACTTATCTTCATTTTATTAAATCTGTTTGATTATCTAATTTAACCAAATGTACTTCCTGGTGTTACATAAAAAAAAATGGGCTAAATATGTTAAGTATCTCTGAGATTGTTGGAAATCATATCATGGCAATTCTGCTCTTTTTCAGCAATTCTTCTCATATTGAGCAGATTGTGGGTAATGTGACGTATCATGCAGTTAACATTTCCATCTTCTGGCAAATTCCTCAATATATTCTGGTTGGGGCAGCTGAACTCTTTGCCAGTATTGCAGGTATGTTCTAATAAGTCTCTGTCCACAAACTGTGATGTATTATACTCTATAATAAAGGTTATTGTTAACGATTTTGCTGTCATCAAGACCTTAATATTTGCTGTCTATCTTGATCTTCTATTGAAGAAGTTAAGCTCCTATATACATAGTACAAAAGCAAATGAATTTTACTGTTCTGATTATTTATCTCTGTAATCACCTACTTAAAATAATATGGACACATTTTGGATGCATAATGTTTGTGAAAGATTTAGTATTGAATGCAACCCAAGATTCAATCCTAAACTTTTTGGAAAATTCATGGTACCAGCAAAATTTCATGTGGTGCACAAGCAGAACCATCAAAATGGCTAACAGGACTATCACCTCATCCAAATAATGTTCTGCCCAGCAAGATGCAGTATCCATATAGAAGAATGACCATGAGTGACTAGTACAACATATGGGTCTATACTGGCCCTCAACTGGGTCAATACTGGCTCTCAGCAGGGTCAATCAATACCAAGTGGAAATTCAACCCCCTTTGAGCAGAAACTAAGCTCCCCAATGCTGATAGTTTAATTACTTAAATGTAGTTAGAGGATGAGAGTTATGTTTGTGGTGTCCCATCTTCCCAGTACTCTTTATCATATGATGCTTTGAGACTACTAACAGTTTTGGCATTCACTGCCTTCTCAATTATCTTGTTCCAACCTTCTACCATTTGGTTTGCAAAAGAGAACTTTCTAACGTTTTCTGTGGGGAGCCGCATCAGCTCCCCAGAGCTATCCGGGCTGATATGAATGTATTAGACCCTGGCATCAGTCAGTGTGCATGGAGTTCTAGGCTTATTGGGGACCACGAGCCAGAACCTGGCCCCCTCAGAGAGCCTGAGGAGCAATAGCCTATAGAAACCCCCATGTAGTTGGGTGCATTCTATGTCTGCCATCGACCGGGTCAGGCACCCAGAAAGGTAAGCACCCCAAAACAAACCCCATTTTGGTTCAAATATTGCTACTGAAAGCCAAACTAGTGGACAGAACTCCCTAAATGAAAATAAGTAAACAAGCATGATGTCACCACATCACCACGCCGCTGTCTGCACATCCCCCCCCCTCCCCGGGAGGGGAAAGGGGGAGCCCCAGATCCTCACGCCGGCTATCCAACCTTCAGTTCTGTGACTGATGTGGAAGTGGCAAGGTCGTGTGCCTCTGGCTCTAAAATTTTTCAGTTCTGTGCCTTGTGGTGTGGTGCTGTCTCTTCGGTGGTGTGCGAGCCAGGAGTAATTTCTACGATACTCGGGCTGCATGCGCCTAGGGTTCTTTTTCCTAGGTGCCTTGTAAGTACTGCCCTTGGGGGCTTGAGCTTACCTTTCACAAGTCATCTTTGGATCTACCTCCGCTGTGTCTTTTGCTGCTCGGTGATTGACCGCCCTTGGAATCGGCTGGGGTGTTTCTTGGTTCTGTTTGCATCTGGGTAGGTGGGTAATTTTCGTCACTGGTTGGGGCGCAGGGTACTGTGCAGCTGGTTATCACCTCTCATAGCAGCCAGCTCTGTTCCGCCTGGGCACGTTGTCCTCTTGAGGGATTTTTCTTTGCAATTTTCGTTTTCCCTGCCTGGTGAGGGGGTTCTGCCCCTTGGTTAGGTCACACCCTTTGTATTTTGGTGGTCCTCTGCTAGGCCCTTGCGAGTGTACACATCCTGGGGGGGTTCAGCTTTATCAGTTTGCTTTGTAGATTTTGGGTGCTCTGCTTGGGCTTTCTTTAATGAGATAACGCAATTAAGGGCCTTGGAAAACCCTGTGGGGGCTCTCTGGTCCAATGGATGCGACCCCTGGGTCCCCTCTCGCTTCGTGCGAGTTTGAAGGTTGCTCTGTCCTCTTGTCTTAGGGTGACACTCATTGCTTCTGCCTCCGCAATGCAGCCTGTTGGGTCAGTGACACTTTCGACCTTTAGTCTTGCGAGTTTTCTTCCATGTTTGTGCTCCAGTTCACTCAGTCCACTGATCATGATATGCAGGTGCAGGCTGCTTTGGCGTTGCATGCTCGTTTTGTTTGCTGCAACGCGCTATGTTGGTTGCTACCCCGGATGCCTCAAGACTGCCCCGTTTTGGTTATAGGAATCCGGACTTGGGGATGTTAGTCGCCTCGACTTTGGTTCCATCTGCACCCCCTTGTCCTTTCCTTTCTGTTGTTTGTCCTGATCCTCCCCCCCCCCCCCCTGCTTCCGGCCATGGAGCATCTGAGGGTTTTGGAGTCAGGGCAGGGTTTAGTTGACTTTGAAACTCGGGCGGATTCAGGGGGATGCCTCTTCCAGTGTGGCAACAGAGGTACTAGAGCCTGGTCCTCCAGCCAGAGCTCTGGGTCTGACCAGTGGGCCCCCTTCGTTCCTGCTTTTTCGGCTGCTCCTGCCTTTTCTTTTGAGGCCGGGGGGGGGGGGGGGTGGAAGACGGCTCATCCCTGGGTCCTCCTGATGAGGTTCCCAGAGAGGGGTTGACTTGGGGGCCTTGTGCCCTGTTGGACCCCGCTTGGGTTTTTGTACCCTCTGAGCGGGGCTTGGTGTTACAAGGCATGGGGTTCTCTTCTCCCCATCCTCATACGTGTTGGATTTGGTGTCAACCCCACCCTGGGTTCGGTTCTGTGATCCCGTGGGTTCTTCAGTCTCATCTTTCCAGAGGTTTTCAGCCTCCCCGCATCCCACCCCATGTAAACCAGTCCTTTCCTAATTTGCTTGTCTAATGTCTGTTTCTTGTTGCTCATTTCTATATTCAGATTCCAAACATACTTCTTGTTAGGAAGTAAAACATACTGATTGTTTCTTTCTCTTTTACAACTTGTGAATATGTTTTTGTATCCTCTTTGTACTTTTCCAATCCTTAGATAATGTCCTTGCTTTGAGCTGTCGGTAAAGTTTCTCTTAGCATGCCCTTGCCCAACTCACTGTTCTGGCTAGCTTGTAGGGTTGATCTGAGTTCTTCTTCACGTGTGTCCATTTTTTCTTGTTAATTTCTTCAGATTCACCCCTTCATTTTCTGTATTGCCTTTTCTTTGATTAGTTCCTTGATTTGTCCTTCCTGTTTTCTTACTTTGTCTGTCAAGCTAGAAATTTTCTTATCCAGCTGCGAAATACTTCCTTTTAAAGTATTAAATTCACTTTTTAAGACTTTCATATTCTCCTTCTAATTTAAGACATTTTTCTTCATAAATCTTTAAATCACAAATCCTTAATCACAAATTTTCAAAGGAAAACCACCTTTTATTATTTCTTTCATTGTGAAAACCTTGAAATTTTCATCTGTTGTTGTGTTGTCAAAGATGGCGGTGTCCATCTTTGTTGTTTACACTGCTTTTATTTTGAAATATCAATTTTACCTATCCAAATTTTTTATGCACTTTTGCATATTTGTTTTATTTCAGTTACAATACTTTTCAAATTCCCTCTAGTTTCATGTTTTATGGGACACCACTCACGGTCATCAACCTGTTCTACAATACTTAGGAAATTGGATTTTCCTGGATCAGGTGTCTCAAGATGACCTTGGCATTCATCTGAAGCTTTTAGTATGTCCTGAAAATCTGTGCTATATTTGTTCTCAAACTCGGTATTTGAAACTTGCAGAATGATTTGATTTGATCTGGTGTGGTTGTCCTCTTCCTCTTGCCTCGTGACTTAGCATGAAGATAAAACTTTGAAAAAATTAATAAACACCATGCAGGGTCTTAACATTAATGACATTTCATAGTGTGTTATATCATATCCAACTATAATCAGTAACTTGGCTATAAAACCAAAAAATTTGACTATGCAAGGAGACAAGTTTGTTGTGTGAACAATCACCTGATGCTTGTTTAGCTAAACAGTGTATTATTTTTCATAATGATGGTACACACAAAAGTTTGATGGGCATTTGAAGGTCACAAAGGTGCGCAAAAATCTAGATTATTGCAGCTGTCATATACAAGGACAAGCTACCCACATAAATAAAAGGGAAGGAAAAAGCAACCACAGTTTTGGTCGACTCGCCAAGCTTTCCGTTCCTGGACCTAGTCCCTATCCTTGGAAACCATAGTTCTTAAAAGCGAATTAAACTTCTAATCAAATGTATATTACACTTGTGTTCAGCAGTACAGTAATATAATATGCTAAATGATCCATTAATTATTGTTGCCATTTCATCCTGTAAGACATATATTTTATTAAGGTTTTGATAAAGTTAACTTTTGATCTAAGACCCTTTTAGTTATAGAGATGTATATATTTCTGTTTTTCAGGTTTGGAATTTGCATATTCTGCAGCACCACGAACCTTCCAGGGAATGATCATGGGCCTATTTTACACCATGGAAGGCATTGGTTCCCTTCTTGGAACGGCATTGCTCCACCTTGTGAGTCCTTTCTGGCTCAGCAACATGACTGACTATGGTAACATCAATGATAATCACCTGGACTTTTACCTCTACTTCCTAGGAATCTTACAGTTTACCACGTTTTTGGTCTATTGTGGCTCACTCTACATGCAAAGATTTTCCCTGAGACCAATAGCAATGCCACATACCAGAAGAGGCAGGGGGAGGAGGCATCCTGGTGATGGGCGTGCAGGCGGGAGCGGAGGAGCTACTAGTACATTGCATGAAGAGGATGAAGATGAGCAGGATGGTGATGAGGACCCTGATAACGAAGAGGAAGACAATGGTGAAGTGAGACCCACTGATACTCAGCTGTTGTTATGAGAATGTCTTACATCTGCTGCATCCTTCATTGTGTAAATATTGAATCTCAGCACCTAAGTCTTCACTTTATTACTCACAATTCCTTTAATGATTAGTGCTATTATCTTAGTTATAATTTGTTGTGCATTCATCATGGAGCTTGACAATTTTAATATAATTTTAATTGAAAATGCTTAAAATTGTGTGATTTTCTTTTTATATGCCTTGTTTACTATATGTCTGTATTAACCTAAAGTATTTTTCATGTTCATGTTAACCTCAAAGACCAAATATTTTGAAATGCTGTATCAGTACCAGCTGATGTAACCACTTACTTTTGTAACAGCCACATTTGCATTGCAGCACAATTACTGCACTATATATATTGTCTACTCCATTGGAAAGATGGTTGCACCAGAAACTTTGACTTGTATTGCAAAATACACACATTCTCCATAATTATAAAGTGAATCAAGTTCCTACAAAATGTCATTGAATTCTTGAACCATAGAATGTCTTGAGAGTGGGAAAGTCAATGGGCTTTTTCTTTGAAAATCATATGGGTAGCTTTGTTTTGTTCAGTCAGTTTTTTGGATATTGTCCCTTATTTCCTTAAATAATGGCTTTATCCTGTTAATAAAAAGGTCCTAGACACTCATGATCTAGAGAAATAGTTTGGGTTGTGGGAAAAGTCGGTGAGTGGAATAAATTGTATGGTGGATATTCAATTTAAGTTTGAGGCGGTTTTCATTCACCTATTAAGGGGACGTCATGGGATTACCTTGGAAAAATTAAATTTAGGGATAGAGACATGGGAAAGGTTAGAGGCAAGAGTGAAAAAAAAAATGTAATCAGGTTCTCTCGATAGATATTCATCATATGTCAGAATATAATTAATATTTTACTCAATAAAATTTACCCATAGTGGGTTGGAAATATGATTGTATGAATGGAGTCTACTTTAATAATAATATCATCTGGAATGCATTTTTATCTGTTTTCTTAAATTGGTGAAATAGTACTAAGAGTATGGGCTAGGAGAAAGTCATCAAGCAGAGTTGAAACAAAATTCTGTGAGTGATTATTATTTTCAGTATGTCAAAGGTTTTGTTCAATCACTGACCTTCCTTCAGAAAACCAGCATTGAATGTAGTGAAACACCTATTTCTGGTTGGGCCTTGATGGCTCCCTGGTGCTAGCTCATTCTGATAGTTCCTGAACGGTCTACTGGAAACCTGAGCCAGAACCTGGCCCCGACACAGAGATGCAGGGAGAAGGGGATTTTTACTATCACCCTCACTATGGCTAGTACCAGCTAGCCACAACCAGGTGGCAGTACCACCAGGAGCTACACACCAACACACCTGGAAGGTGGGGGGAGGGGGGGGGACCATACAGCCACTGAGGTAAAACCAGAAAGAGGTGTTTCATATATTCAATGCTAGTTTTCTGGAGGAGCCAAACAGTTGTTCCCTGTAGCTAACCACAGAGCAGAAGAAAGAAATGGGACTTGCCAGGAAAGAGAGCAAAGGCTTTACCCTTGAAAAGCACCTGGGATGGGAAACCTGACTCGGAGCAACACACACACACTAGATAGAGATCAGGAATATTGACCAGGGAATGAGCCGGCAGGCCTCTGACCTCCAAAACTCCCAAATCCTAATACCAGCCCATGACATGTTGGAAAAACTGTGGACAGAGCTGCAAACTTGTGAATATCATGGACCTGAGGATAGACTGCATGCATCTTGAGGTTATAGGTTATCTTTAGATGATTCTGGTGTTTAGGGTCCCCACGGTCTGGCCTCCTTTTTGTTACACACACGCCTGTCTTGACTCTCAGATACCTATTTACTGGTAGGTAACAGGAGCATCAGGGTGAAGGAAACTGCCCATTTGTTTCTGCCTCCACCGGGGATTGAACCCGGAACCTCAGGACTATGAATCCGAAGCACTGTCCACTCAGCTGTTAGGCCCACTCTGCTGTCAGGCTGGATAGACTTAATGACACTGTGGACAACTTGAGGCAAACGAGCATTGGAACAGGAATGAAGGAAATTGGATCAACAAACAAAGCATCCTCCAAAGCAGTACAGGTGATGCACAGCTAGCAACGAACTTCTGCAACTGGACACAAAAAATGATGCACCCAAGCCAGACTAACCAAGCATCAACAACTAAAGGACTCCTCTTAAAGCCAATCATCATATTCTTCAAAAGAAAAGTAGAAGCCTGCAAATGATGAAATTGCCCATTAGGGCCAAAAGAACAAAACCCCCACTTCCTAGGAGAGCATGAAGCTCCCCAGCCTAACAACCTGAAATAAGGGCCTGCAAAAGCAGAGCCCTAAGCAGTGCAACAAGGCCCAAAGGGACAACTGCAAGAATCAAAGGAAAGACAGATCGACACCTTATCAAGAAACCAAGACAGCTCAGCAAGAGCTGGTCGGAGTTGAAAGAAGGCATGAGACAACTTGCTAAAAATGTTGGCGTGTCATTGAAAATTGGCAACAAATGTGACTCCACCAAAGCTAAATAACAAGAAATGGCAGTATTAGGCAGAAGATGTTGATCGGCAAACAATAAGACAAGAAGGACAAATCATAATGAATGATAAACAAAAAAAGGAAATAGGAGTACCAAGAAACCTGATACTGTTGCTGTGACAAAGGTGAGAACCAGCAACTTGGCCACCCTCTAGAATGGGAGATTCTCCCAAAGGAAGAATCCAGGAGAAAACTAAGCAGCCCAGTAGAAATTAGTATGAAAATTTAGTACCTGTATATAAATACAGCTGGCATTGCAAACAAAGAGGTAGAGAGGAAGAACGGGTGACAATTGTATCCTCATATCATTGCAGTTAGAGACAAAACTGACGAACATAATAGAGGATGCAATATTCCCAAGAAAATATCGGGTAGCAAGAAAACAAAGGATAAAAATCAAAGCAGCCATCATGAGGATGGAGCCTACCACTCACTCCTCAAGTGCCCAAGTATGGCAAAAACTGTACCAAATCCTCAAATAAAGGGTTGTCTGCAAGCCAGGAAAAAACAGGAAGCCCACAACATTACCATAAGGCCAAAGCTAACCCTAACCCGAAGGAGGCCAGGTCCATGAGGAAAGGGAAGTCCTGTACCCACAGGAGGAACTGAAAAGGACAGATTGAACCAAATATGCAGATAGTGGGAAGAAGGAACCCTTCTGAAACAAGAGGCATCTGAGGACACTACTGGTACACAGAAGCATACCTAAAGTGGAGCAGCCACGAAATTAAGCTTGAACATCAGAGGAGGAGAAGGAATATTCCCCAACAAAGGAGGATAAGGAATATCCCCCAATGAGCTGAGAAAACCCTGCTGAGGGAACCAGATACCAGGAAAGAGCACACAGGGACCCACTTAAGAGCTCCTTCCCAGCTCTAGAAGTACGAACTGAAGATCCGATTGCACAGAGAAGCTTTGTGCCTGATAGGAAGGTATCTCCAAGCTCTAACAAGATCTGAACCAAATACCACCCCCCTTTTCTCCCCAGAGAAAAGGGCATTTCGGATCCCTGGCAGGAAGCAATGGGTCGGCTGTCTCCAATGTCAAAATGGAAGGGACGATCCCAAGTGAAGACCAAGCAGCACCCACAGTTAAATGCAGCCCAGACTCTGAAACCCTTAGACATCCTGGAGCCCAGAGCAAGGGGAATGGGGAACAAAGGGTTCATACAACTATGCCAGAAGGACAGTGGAAGAAGGGATGGTGAACAGAGCACCAGTAGGAACACCAGCTGCTCCAACTCCAAAACCTCATAGATCAAAACAGACCAACTCAGGACAACCACTCAAGCACCAAACCTCAACACAAAAACAAATAAATGAACCTGAAGTGGCCAGTGTTTATTAAGCCTTGTCACTACAAAATAAAATAAACAAAATCCAAAAGGCAGGCTTTAACCAAAATAAAAGACCAAAATAACATCGCAAGCCTCAAAGTAGAGGGCAGTACTCGCTCAACAGTCAGCAGAGGGAGACAGTAAAGTGATCATCAATTATTGTCATCACTGATACTCGCAAGTAATGAGCACTTGCTTGGCGAGTTGTTCTATAACAAACCACAACAAAGATCCGTGGTGCTTGCCAGGGCCTGACAGTAAGTGCTAAGCAAAACATCCAGGCACTTGGGAGGCTCACCAAAAAGACTAAATGTAGCCTTCAGGATAAACACAGTTATGAAGGTGTCTGTGGCATGCCATATGTAGAAGTACTGTACATGAACCCTATTGCACCCCTGAGGTCAATAAACCCCTTAATGCCCCAAACATGGAGCCTTGCAAAAAGAGTCAATGACCCACCACTAAATGCAAGTCATCCTCCATAGTAGTATGAACTTTCATGGGGCATACTCCGAAACCCACCAGATAGAACACTCTGTTAGACTAGGAGCAATGCCAAACGAGTACCTTGGGAAGGGCTTTCCTAAATACATGCAGTTTGTGGAGAATCATAAACAAAGTTCACACAACAAGTGAGTGTTCACTTGTGTGAACACTCACTTGTTGACTCACGAACAAGTGTTGACTCACTTGTTCATGAGTCAACAAGTGTTCACACTTGGGAACATCGGAGTCAGGACTGAGTGCTGTTGACATGGGAAGCTGGAGCTCCTAGTAGTGCTGCCATCTAGCAGTGGCTAGCTGGAACTAGGGAGCTTGACCTAACTGCTGAGTGAATCATTTGCTGCTGCATTTCTTTCTTTTCAGAAAAAGTGCCATTGTCCATTTTGCTTCACTTACTTTCTGGATGTTTCCTTGGTGAGGGTGATTGTAACAATCCCCCCTGCTCCCCTGTGAAGGGGCCAGGTTCTGGTTCTGGTCTGCAGTAGTGATGGGGACTGGTGTGACTCAGTAACATTAACACTTTCGCGCGCCCGACAGTACCTGTGTAACTTTCCCCATGTACGCCGTTCGTTTCGGCGACTGCACAGCGACACATAAATGTTTATAGTCTTTTCAGTCTTATCACCTTAAATTTCCATGTATGTATTTAAGTTTGGTGTCATTTTGTTCGCAAGAGAATGCTCTAGAGGAATATATCTATAAAATTTCTCCAAAGCCAACGTGGGACTCGCACTAAATAAAAAACTATGGCGATCGTTAGCCGTGAGCGCCAAACTGAAATGAAATGTTCATGCTCTTTTCAGGTTTATCAACCGCAGAATTGGTCTATGTCGTTAATTTTGGTAACACTGTGATCGCAATAAAATTCCCTACACGGACATATGAATATAAAGTACAAATCATGGGTGCGTCCCACCTGCAAGACCATGGGAAGTTGCCCAAGGGTTACCTGTTACTGCACGCCCAACTGCACATCGGCTTCACAACTACTGAAAAGTTTATACTCTTTTTTTTTTTCATGTTTCTGACCTTCATTTTTGATGTACGCGTTTTATTTTGGTATTAATGTGTTGCCAAAGAAATGTTCTAGAGGAACGTATGTATAACATGTCACCAAAGCTAACGTGATGCCGGCACCAAATAAAAAACAAAAGTCGTTTGTTAGCCATTCACGCCAAACAGCGCAAACATGTTGCTACTCTTTTCAGGTTTATCAAGTCCAAACTTGTTCGACATCGTTCTTTTTTGTATCACTGTGATCGCAATAAAATTTCCTACACAGACATATGCATATAAATTAGACAACATGGGCGCGCCTCACCCGCAACGACCCCTAAAGTCATCGAAGCCTTACCTGCTACAGCACACTCATTGCCACACCCGCTACACCCAATACACCAGACAAACACATACAGTTTGCTAACAGAAGTTTTTGTGCAACATTGTTCATTGTGGTATCAAATTATTCGCAATAAAATGCTCTAAATAGAAAGACAAATATAAGCAATAACAACCACAATATATATAAGCAATACCAATAACAAAATATAAAGACTAAAATCGGCAAAGTTACCCGTGAGCGCGCAAAATCTGTAAAATGTATATACTCGTTTCAGTTTTCTCACCTTATTTCTCGTGCTACATCGTTCGTTTTGGTATCATTGTGTTCGCAATAGAATTCTCTATAGTGGTATATGCATATAAGGTCTAAAAGCCCGGAGTGAGTCCCACAGCAGAGCCTAAAGTTGGCCAAGTTACTTGTGAACGAGCACCAATTGGCACACCTGCAGACTAATGTATATACTCGTTCAATTTGATAACATAAATTTTCGTGCTACGTCCTTCAGTTTGGTATCAAATTGTTCACAATAAAAAGGTGCATATTTTAAAACTAGTCCCATAATAATAGAACAATAAATAGAATTTTAATAAATATTTTAACTTTTTAGACACTTTTTGACGCTCATCACCACAAAATTATTTATATCTTTCCAGTGTTCTGACATCAATTTTCATGTTACGTCTTTCATTTTGGTATCAAATTGTGCGCAGTCTGAAGGCGCTCATTTTGAAACCACTCCCAGATTGATCGGATAAAATTTAAATTTTTAACAAATATTTTAATGAGTGATGCCGGACCTCATCACCGGAGACGAATCAGGAGAAAAATGAGTGACGATGTTTGATATCGTTGGCGCACGAAAGTGTTATAAGCACACTGGATTGATAAAATAACCTTTAATTCTTATCTAGCTTACAATTTCAGCATTTCCTATTCTTTGTTATCTTTAAAAAACGATGCTTAACGCACCTTGTTCTAAATAGTAATTTTTAAACAGGTTGAGGACAAAAATCATTAGTGTCTAAGAAGAGGGAAGTTTATAAATTATTGTATGAATTTTATGGGTAATGTACAGTATATATTTTAATGTTCTTCCGTTTTGTTTGGAGGGGTTATATTGTGATGGAGATATAAATAAGATCTTTAGTCATGCATCTGTACAAAAACACTATGATTTGGGCATGATATTCCCTGCAGGTTACATGAAGCTTTTAGTTGGCTCCTCGGGATTTTTCTAGCCCATGGGTAAGGACACATCCTTATGGCTACCCTTCCAGTTATTAGTCAGATCCAGCAGTGCTTAATCCAACTACCGAAGTGATGTTCATATCATCCACAGTGCAACATCCATTTAGAAATTAAACTGAAATAAAGCTACTAGAAGCAAAATGTATTTATGGTTGTACAGGACTTGAGTACAAGATGTGAAATGCAGTGCTGTGTAATAAAGAACATATGTTATGAATAGATAAAAAGAAGTCACATAATGAAGTAGACTTAATACTCTATGGCTATAGAGTATTAAGTCTACAGGCTTGCAGTGAAAGCATATATGTAATTGGAGATTAGCTGATGGTAGTATTACAGTAACTACTGAATGGTTCAATGTAGAATATGATATTAAGTGTCCCTTGTATGTAGTATAAAAGGTACTATAAACACTGTATTAAATACAATATACTATATTAAATACAGTACTATAAAAAGGCTTACATATTTTCTAAACCCATGCAGTATGTTTTGTATTACAAGAGTTTTCTGGAAATCACAAAAGCTGCATATTTGAATATATGAACAGAATTATGTTGGCTATAATCAATAATTTGCCAATAAACAAAACTTAATTAGGCTTCATTTTGTACTATACAGTGTTACTGTATACTATTTGTATGCTAAGGATAAAATGTATAAATTAAATGCTTTTTATGAACAAATAATATATTGGATGGACATCATTATTTTTTAAAACTGCTGTACTGAGAATCTTTTTTTTTAGTTTAGGTAAATTGGTTTAAGCTCATACACTTTGGCTTTTTAAAAGCTCACAGGTTATATGCTTGTCATATGAGGAGAACTGTCTCTTTCATTGAGATGATGATTTTTTTTTTTTCAAGGCAGTACATGTACTAAAAACTGGAATGTTACAGAGAAGATTAGTATGGCCTCTGTGCAATGATATAAAAAAATTGTGAAGTGTTTCACATTTTATGTGAAGCTTGGCCCCTGGCGGAGCTTGGAGAGTAGAACTCCCAGAACTCTATAGAGGTGTAGCAATTCAGTATGGTATAGTGCTATCCTTGTAAGCTTTGCTATTATTGTAACACTAAGGCTGTAATAATTGTATTTTCTGGGATGAGCCCCTACGGCTCCCGGGAGCTTACTAGGCTGATATGCTAATGTCAGGCTTTGGCATCAGTCATGTGTATGAAGTTCTTTGGGCCTACCGGGGACCACGAGCCGGAACCTGGGCCCCCTCAAGAGAGGCAATTGAGAGTAATGGCCTATAGAAACCCCCGTGTGATTGGAAGCATTCTATGTCTGCCATTGACCGGGTTAGGCACCCAGAAAGGTAAGCGTCCCAAACCAAACCCCTATTCTGGTGAAAATCGCAACCAAAAGCCGAACGAGGGGATAGAACTCCCCAAACAAAAACGAGCAAACTAGTATGATGTCACCCGTCGTTGCGCCGCTGTCTGCGCAGCTCCCCCCTCCCAGAAAGGGGGAAGGGGGAGCCCCAGACCTACCTCGCCGGTGATCCACACCCCAGTTCTTGAGTCTGATGCTATTGGTTCGGTTGTGTGCTCTGGCTCCAGTCTTTTTGCGGCGCTGTGCCTTGTGTGTGGCAGTTGTACTTCAGGAGGTTTTCCCCCGGCTGCGGCTCTTCCAGCAGATCGGACTGGTACGTCACTTAGATGGTTCGATCTTCTCCTCGAGCCTTCGCGTTTGGTATTTTTGACTCGAGTTTATCATCATCTCTGTCATGATCAGGTGGCTTCCTTATTAGTGTCCCACATGCGGGCTTTGTCTTGGTGGCATTATGAAGTTTCTTGGCGGTCCTTCCAGTTTTTCTTACGTCTTCGTTGTTGTACTTCACTTTCTGTTAGGGTGGTGTTGTCCTTTCTCTCTTGCTTGTTCCAGGACCGTCTCCTTATGCCTAACACTGTCGCCTTGCATCGTGCGGCGCTGGCGGAGCCGCTTCAGCTTACTTTCGGTATTGATGTTACGTCTGCGCCGTTTCGCAAGCTGTCTCGGGCGTTGTTTCACCTCCGGCCTGCTCATGCGCCGCCCGAGCCATCCTGGTCTTTGGACAGAGACCAAAGACAGAGACCTCTTTCTTTCTTCTCTCGTTTTGTTGTGGCCCCTTCGGTTCCGGATTGTTTTTCAAAGTCTCTTTTCCTGTTGGTATTGGCCTCTGGGGGTTGGGTTGGTGAGCTTCATGCTCTCCTTCAGCGCAGAGGTTTCTGCTCCTTCGGTCGGAGTGATTGGTTTGCTTGTCTGCAGCCTTCTTCTTTTCTAGGGAAGAATGAGCCTGCTGCTTTCCGAAGGGGTCCCTGGGTTGTTGATGTTTGGTTGGTTAGGCCAGGGGTGCATCATGTTTTGTGTCCGGTTGCGGCTCTCCGCCGTTATTTGCGCGCCACGGCTTCTGTGTCCGTGGATGCGCTTTGGGTTAATCCGGTTTCTTTTCTTCCCTGTTCGCAGGTGCGGGTCTCCCAAGTCGTCTGCAGGGTTATTAAGGCTAGCCAGCCTGCGATCTATCCCCGTGCCCATGACGTTCGCAAGTTCGCGGCTATTGCCGCTGTCTTTGGCAATATGTCCTGGGCTGACATTCGGGCACGGGGATTTTGGCGGTCGATCAGGGTCCTGGCTGCTCGTTACCTTGTTAACGTTCCTGGGTCCAGTTGCTTTGGGTCGGCGGATGCAGCTGGTTGTCTCGACTTCGGGTTGAGGAGTGAGCAGCAACTGCCTCCTGGATGAGTCCTTATTCTTTCCTCTGTGGGTAGTTAGCTCCGGGGAGCCGTAGGGGCTCCCCCCCAGAAAACCAGCATTGAATGTAATGAAAAGCCATTTTCTGGGTGAGACCCGGAGGCTCCCCAGCATCCCTCCCTCCCTCCAGTCGGCGGTTTTTCGCGTGTTTTAACATTCAGCCTTAGAACTGGGGTGTGGATCGCCGACACGGTGGGTCTGGGGCTCCCCCTTCCCCCTCCTGGGGAGGGGGGAGTTGCGCAGATAGCGACGCGACGACAGGTGACGTCATACTAGATTGCTTGTTTTTGATTGGTGAGTTCTGTCCACTCGTTCAGCTTTTGGTTGCAATTTTTACCACAATAGGGGTTTGTTTTGGGACGCTTACCTTTCTGGGTGCCTAGTCCGGTCGATGGCAGACATAGAATGCTTCGAATCACACGGGGGTTTCTGTAGGCCATTGCTCCCCTTGCCTCTCTAGAGGGGGCCAGGTTCTGGCTTGTGGTCCCCGGTAGGCCCAAAGAACTCCATACACATGACTGATGCCAAAGTCTGACATTAGTATATCAGCCTAGTATTCTCTGGGAAGCCTCCGGGTCTCGCTCAGAAAATGGAGTTTCAACACTGGTTTTATGACCTCAAGAACTGGAAAGAGTCTGCCCTCACAGCAGAAAATGCCCACACCCGTTATTAGGGGAAAGGGGAAGAAATGACCAAGATGTTAACAATATCTTTACGATCAATTACAGCCTGGATGGTTAATCAGGCTACTCATTTATCAAATAAACCATAAGACCCCACCATCATTGAACTTTAATACTTAGGCTGATTGACTCTGGAGGAGAGCGAGTCAACTAGCAACAGCACCGAAGGAACTGCTTTTAATAATCACTATAGAAGAATGGACATTAATGTAACCTTTTCCCCTTTCTATAATTACTGTCTGCAAATTAATTTAATGCTACTTGATAATACATGGGATATATATATATATATATATATATATATATGCTGTACTTATTATATGTTAAAAGGATCACAAGGTGATGTCCAAACTTAACTCCAGATCTAAATCTCAGATATTAATAAAAGGAAAAATATGGAAATACAAGGAGACAATTTAAAAGTAAATTTATTTAATGATGTAGATTAAGTAACCCCTTAGCTAGCATAACATCCTATTCCATAAGAGGCAAGGTATATATGGTCTACACATTGTGCTTGGAAACTCAGACATTGCATTTTCACTGCTCTCAGCAGCCGATGTTGCGGCTGGCCCCCGGTCGATGTCCCCCCCGTTCCTGGAAGCACTCCCAGTTCACAATAAAATCTTTCTCTCACATCCTTCAAGGTGACGTGTATAGGCTCCACCCATAAAAGCACCTTGCCTTCGTAAGCTCTACCTCCCTAGGTTTACAACCAATCAACTGAGCCAAGAGTCTGGCACCTTCAGCCAATGATAGTTTATGCCTGGACCCTGAAGGGTCCACTTGCCCAATTATAGCCCAGCTAGGCCTGCCAGTGCCACCTGGGCCAATCAGCAATTATTACAACACCAGAGGCATGGTTTTCACACCTGACAGCTGGGTGTACAGTGCTTCGGATTCGTAGTCCTGAGGTTCCGGGTTCGATCCCCGGTGGAGGCTGAGACAAATGCGCAAAATGTTTCATTCACCCTGATGCCTCTGTTACCCAGCAGTAAAGAGGTACCTGGGAGTTAGCCAGCTGCTACGGGCTGCTTTCTGGGGTTGGAGACCGGGCCGCGGGGGGACACTAAGCCCCGAAATCATCTCAAGATAACCGCAAGATAACAACCCAGCCCAGCGACTGGCTTTCGTGTGACATTTTTGCCCGAAAGCAGTGGACATTGGTCCTTGTGAAAACCACTTCCTTCTAATCTATTGTAAACTGGTTAGAAGGAAAAGGTTGTGAACTCAATTTGACTCAAGGTGGTTGTAACCTGAAATGCCTCAAGCACTCAAGGAAGGGAAACCAATTAAAATTTATGGTCCGTCCTCTGCCTCGGAGGGCTGCAGGGACCAGGGAGCTTAAGGGAAAGAAAGAATGGAGAGAGAGATTGGTATACTTAACCATTACACAGGTATGGCTCAATTCATTCAAAAAGGTAATTAAATATATATTTTTTCTTTTAATCTGAAGCATTGTAATTTCCCTCAAGTCTGTATTGTCACTGGAATATCTCAATAGAGTTGCTAGCATTCCTTTGCATGTTATTGGCCTATTAGCCCAAGTGACAAGACACCCCTTATATGTGGGTTCGTGCTGTTGCATAATAATGATATGAAATCTGAATTTCCTATGATGAACATGCTCTTTGATAACAATGTATAGTTGCTTGAAACTATTGTATTACTTGTGCAATGTTGTATGTGTTCATGTGAGCCAGTGTGAAAAATTCACACTGTAATACACAGTTCATGTGCAGTGTGAGAGGAATCAATTATAGATTGTAAGTTTACTTTTATGCTGTAGTTATACATCCATGACACTACCATCACTATAATGCATATGCCTTTTTTATTATCTTGTTATTCTATATCTCTCTTAGTTCACTCCTCTTACTGTTAGAAATTTTCCTTAAAAAGTAGCACGCTCAGTCAGAGAAGATTCCTTTTACCAGAAACTTGCTCATCAAGGATTAGTGATGTATTATATATTAACAAACTCTTAATTTTATATTGTATAATGTCCTAAATGGTCAGTCCCTTATGTTGAGTGATCCATGTGCCTTGAAGGAAGTTGAGGAAATTGTGTTCAGCACTTTGTTGTGGGGTAAAACTGCCCTCACATTTGTTTATTGTTTTATTCATTGTTTGACTTCCTACCCATGAGTTGACTAGTTTAACTCGGATAAAGGAATCTTAACATGTTAATATGTATTGCCTTATACAATATAAGAAAATATTGCCGTATAGTATAAGAAATATTGTCAGAACAATCATGGACATCTTCAAGAGAAAACTAGAGAGTTTTCTTTAAGAAGACCGGACCAACTGGGCTGTGGTGGATATGTGGGCCTGTGACTGCTCCAAGCAACAGCTTGGTGGACCAAGCTCTCTCAAGCCAAGTCTGGCCTCAGGCCGGGCTTGGGGAGTAGAAGAAATCGCAGAACCCCATCAAGCAGGTACAGAATAATAGTATGAATTTATCTGAAAAAAATTGTATGTACAATATATATACATGCACAGTATATATTCCAAAATGTGATAATATAAATCTGCATT